ATAATAATAATAATAATATGAATTATTATTCTGATACATCCATGATGGTATTCAAAGTGGTCGCCAGCTAAACGATCATGCGCAGTGTATCCAAATGAGTGCAGCAGGCGTTCGTCCGCGGAGGCGCACAATGACGTCAAACGCGTCGCAAACGTTCGAGCGGACACGTCCGCTAGTAGGCGTGCGGAGAAGCATGAATTTTTATTATCTATATTATTCCATTACAAACCTAAAATTAACTATATCATAATCGTTGGGATAGTTTGCAAACCTTCCAGACTATTTACAATGTAATAAAACTGTTACATACATGTAATTGCGTGTGTATGTGTGGAAATACTTGTCTCGAATTGACTATCTTACTCCTGCCTGCTGACCAAAGTTGGCAACCTTGTAATAATGTCGTAAAACTTGCATAAACAGAACACAAAGGCCATTGGTTCAATTCACCGTTATCAAGGTTTACCTCGCGATAGTTTATTTTTAATTAGCTGAAATAAAAGATTGTACGCGTTTGCCAAAATGTCATAATTTACCTTCCATAATATTTACTTAAACACTGGACTTCAAAACAGGAAGCGTCATAAAAGGCACAATGAAAACCCACCCTTTTCTGTACGGGGATGTGGGGCTCAACCAATTACGGGATGCCACGTCACGTTTCCCAAATGGCGATGGAGGTGACTACGGCGTGGTGCGTTTCAAGTACAGTACTTCAGACCATATTTTATGGTTGAATTATCCATTATCTACATCAACAACAACAACAACAAATTTATTTTTGTATAGCGCATTATCACATCATTAAAACATTAAGTCCTGCCTTCTGTCCCTTTTTAAATAATGGTATATAACAACAGTTTTTTTAGGAAGTGTATAGTTACATTGAACTCACACACTATGAGCAGTTCATATATTTGAATAAATGAAGGTTACCAAGGTTACCAATGTATATTGAAAGGTTCTGCCTCCAGGAATACTGCTGTTAGTAGGGTTATGTATAATAGAACATTGGTAAAAGTGATTTCAGGTACAATTTGCAACTATTCGCAACCGTTCCAGGCTGCTTTTCAATTTGATGATGTTTTAGGAGGTAATTTCATGAATGTGTCATTGATATGGAATGCGGGGGGTCATTTCAAGTGCATAATGTAGCAAGTGTATGGATGTTTTGATTAATCTATTGTTTACTTATATTTATTTCATATTTCCATTATTATTTATACTTTGTACAATAATTAAAAAAAAACTTTTCAAAGGGAACAACTTAAAATAATAATGTAGCACTTATGTCTATTTGGGCATTCACCATTTGTTCTTCGGGTTCCAGAAATAAAGGAAGTTGAAACTCGTATTCGTTTCTGACGTTGTTCGTCTTTTGGTGCCACCTGGTGGAATCATACAGTAAACGACATTTAATTGTATAAGACTCTTATGGGGACCACAACA